CTCTTCGTCGTTTTTTACGATGCAGTTTTTTCGGAGACCGTAAGTGCATCGGTCGAAAAAGTTTTTGGTGGAAAGACATTTTTGGATTTTTTTTTTTTTTTTTTTGTTTTTTGAGGGGTTGGGATTAATTTTGGTTCTTTTGTCTTATCAAGGACAATGAGTCGTTTTACTTTAAGTTGAAAAACTTTTGAAAACTCTTCCTACTCGGCGATCTTTTTTGATTTTTTTTTTTTTTTTTTTGTTTTTTGAGGGGTTGGGATTAATTTTGGTTCTTTTGTCTTATCAAGGACAATGAGTCGTTTTACTTTAAGTTGAAAAACTTTTGAAAACTCTTCCTACTCGGCGATCTCCCGTAAACTTTTATATGAAACGATCTCAGTGGCTCTCGGGGTAACAAAAGTTACTCGGAACCGCGAGGGTTGTATTGAGTGGTTGATGTTACGAGGGTGAGCCGAGGGGCTGGGATAAATTATTTATAGGGCCGTTATCCTCTGATTATTATCGAATCGGGTACCTGTGCTTCGGAGGGACACGTCACTATCGAGGAGTGCCAGCAAAAATCCGAACGCGCCCTCGTCACCTAAACCTTCTTATCTTGACGCGTGCTCGGGGCCGCTTTCGCTCCTATTTTTTTGTTTCCTTCTCCCTCGAGTGATTGCTTTGAATTCGAAATGACGTAGCGATCCTTGTTCTGGCTGTCGAACAGACTTTAGAGATAGAACGTGGATACCAAAGGATTTTATGGGTTTTAAGGATTTCAAAGTATTAAATTTTATCGGCTTCGACTCTCCGAGATGGACCGGACGGTGAATCGATACGAAATTCGTTGATAATGATTTCTCCCAGAAGCACCCTATTCGCTCGTATTTAGAGCTCGGACTGTAATAGGGGTTGTTTGTTGAGTTCCCTTTGAAATTTCGAGGTCATAGGTCATCCCCCATTGCCCACTCGCAATATCCGGTCGAATCGACGTTCTGTATCAAACGCGCCAAGCGAGACTGTCGTATACGAAAAATACGCGGTAAATCGACGGTACGCGATTCACAGTGACACTGTGGCGGAAAATGTAGATTTTGAAAATTTTTGGGAATTAGGGGGAAACCATTTTTTTTTTCCTCAATATAGTTCATCAGAGCTCCGAAATCGGTTTTTCGAAACAAAGTTACACAGTCGTGTATAACGGCTGGGTTGCGGATGCTGCGCGCCGTGCTTAACAACGTGTCTCGACTGTCGGGACGCGCTTTACGAATTTGCCAGAAAGTTTTGCAAATGCGCAACCAGCGAGAGTAATGGCGGCTGGGATGGAATATTCTCTTAGCTGAATAGTTCATCAACGGCTGCTGTGGATTTCGTACGATCTCCTCTTATCCTCGCATCCTTCTCCTTCAGTCACGTGGCGGTGGGCCCCTCTTTAATCATCTAGACTTTCAAGGTCCGCGAAGCAGCCGAACAAGCCTCGCGGTTAAACGCGTCATCAATTATCTAATTTTCATTACTTGAAATTTTAGGGGTACGTTTTTTTTTTTTTTTTTTTTTTTTTTTTTTTTTTTTTTTTTTTTTTTTT